ATTTTTCAACAAATCAGTTTCCAACAGTCAATTTATAGAAACTGATCATAGAATTCCAGCCTACTAGTTACAGCCACATGTACACCCTGCACTAAATTTAAGTGAAGACTGCTACATGGAGGCCATGCGGCCACCAGGACAGGCTACTCCCTACTTTTTTTTTTTTTTTAAACATACAAGACAAAGCCTTGTGAATCAGAAGATTATTTCAACAGAGCATCTGATTCAAAAAGCTGTACAAATATACACACAGTTTCAACAGTCACAACAATCTCCTTATCACCAGCAACACATTGCGCAGTCACTAGGCCCAAACACACACACAGGATCCTCACATGCTCAACAATATCACGACGTCGCACACACAAAATTAAATCAAAAACCCACCAAAGACTATACACTCATCAATGTAACTATTATTCAAACCATTCAACTATCCACGCTATTAATCCATATAAACTAACCGATCACATAACATTTGAACAAATTCATCTCTACAATTATCCGTACTATAAATCAACTCTTGACTAACCAACTATATCACATTCTAGTAACCTCATCTTTACAGTCAGTGGTTATGGTACAGTTAGTAAGTGGTTATAACACAGTTTTAAAGTCACAGATCAGTTAGTAACAGTTATGGTATTATACATATAACATAAAACAGCAATTGTTAGTAATTTTTACACAATGTCAGTGGTTATGGTACATGTCAGTAGTTATGGTACCGTGCGCTATTTTACAGTTATACACACAATTTACACCCCCACTAGACAGCAGAGCTCTAACTTTCTAGTAGGACATACAAGTTAACCAATTCACCAACTACAATATATTTAACAACATTTACAATAATCCCAACTATTCTAACTGGCCAGCACCTCGAGAGCTTTCAATCTATTTATACACCAGAGATTCGATAAGTTCTTCGCTGCCCAGACACCACGTATAGCGAACTAGAGGGCAGAATTTACACAGTACCCAGCTAGTCTATTAAACTATCAATAAGCTAGTGGCTGGATTTACAACAGAGCACACTTAGTTAAGATAGGGTGAAATCTAGCAAACTATAATATACAACAGAGTATGCTAGTCTCCCGGTCCCCCCGACCTAGCCAACAAAATTTACACCCTAGATACGCTAGTCAAGACAGGACACCGGTGTCCGACATGAGCTATTTACACCACAACTCAGTCTGACCCAAACCAATAAGTGTTGCGCTTTTCACTTCTTCCATCCATAAGGACAGGGCAGATTCCAATAACCGGTTCCAAATATAAAACCCCTTGTGGGTCTACCGCTCTAACGGTATCAATCTCACCTGTTAATTTCTGGACCTGGGTTCACTCATAGACGGAACAATCTGGGACTCACTGCGCAGAAGCCGATGATCTCCTGGACAAAAGGCCAGTGGCACCGAGACGAAAGGAGGTCCACGCAGTAGAAGTCCAGGATTGTAGCGTAGAAGGTTTGGTAAAAGTTTACCGTCTCAAATTGTGGTGGAATCTCGGTAAAAATAAATTTAGTAGGCCGAGATTACCACGTGGTATGTGTACGTGCATATGCTGACGTATCGATCAGTTGGTTGCACGAGGCAAGATACGATCAGTAGTGTACGGAGCATGTGCAAGAATACAGGATGTAGTATTCCCCTCCTCCAT